GGTGCTGCAGGACTTTCCGTTCTAGACATTCAGTCTTAAAAATCTGTGTACCCTTTGTAAATTTGTGTTTCGACAATCTACACGTCTGAGTGTTTCATGACTTTTTGTCGAGTTTTATCCCTTTTAATTTGCTACATACAATTCCGCTTAAAGAAACTGCAATGAACTTTTAGAAATGGACGGCACTTCGAAATGAGGACGCAAGTGAAAGTGTCTTCCCGAAATTAATTGCCAAAGCTAGATATTATGTTTGGATTTACTTTTTCAAAATACCTGTGCTAAATTTCCTAAAAAGGAAGACAAAAGACCTATGCGATGATTGATCCATCTGTAATTTGTATTCAACATAATAGATATCTTTCCAAGTCGGGACTAGCCGCTAGCTAAGGTGATGCTATTAAAATTTTGCTCCTCGAACTTCATCCAGCGAAAATGAGTATCAAGGCTAACAGCACATGAGGGAATTATGATAGGGAGTGATTTTCAATGGGAACTATCAATGCTTTATATGATGTAGTGTAGACGGCTTAACAGGAGCATGTTTTATTTTCATTGTCTTATTGGTATGGATCAACTATTATAACGCATGTATGAGAGATTAGTGTATTTAAGACTCCCAAATAACTATATTAGACTAAGCAAAAAGCCCAAAGGACAAAAGCTCATTTGTATTAACTACAAAACGCAAAAATCGTGTAGCTATTCTGTTTACAAGTACAAAACATTGGTTTTACAATTGTTTCGATTTTAATCAGTCTTTCGATGAAAACTGAACTTTTAGAGGGAAAAGTGAATCTCAAGCCCAAATCAAGCCTCCAGAAACATCTCAAACTTTTGCAAAGTTAAGTGCCTGATAGAGAATTTTTGGTAAGTCAAACAATTTTTTACACTAAACAAAAAGATGTACTGTTTTAGCGTTAACCATTAGGTGTTTTGCACAAACAAGTCAGCTAACAGCCTTAAGCACCAACTTTCAGATAAATACTTGCATTTGACAATTTCTTTAAACAGTCTACTACCCACGATAACCGTCAACTTGCTAAATTGATGCGAACTGCAGTTTCCAATAGGCCTAGGATAAGAACATTTAATCAAAAGCAAGAAGTTTAGAACGCTACAAAGTTATTAATTGTGCAGAAAGCGAAAATCTTGCCTCTAATAGATGCTAGAGGCATACGCAATAGCCCACCGCCGCTAGGATCACTGAAAGTTCTAAAAGCACATTCGACATTAAGGATGTATTAGACCCATTGACTATTGCAAATTAAAGAATGATTTAAAAAGTATTGTGAGCAGCGTTACAAGTTGTCATTCATATTAATTATGATTTTTACGCAGTGCATATGATGGCAAAATGCTATGCGATGCGATTGCAACTTTAATGCGTGAATTCAGAAGTCGTTATAGTGGGTCCACAAGGTACAACAACGCACCCTTTTCCTGAATCAAGTTTAGACAAATATCGAGTGAGGTAATTTTGACTGCTTTTAAACGCTCGCTGTGTTGTGAAACCATTACTGGTTATTTTCCTTATTGAGTAGTTCTAAAGAAACACGATTTTCCAACTCTAGTGGGTTGGTTAAAGTTCTTTGTGAAGTGTTTCGTTTCCACAGGTATTGTATAAAGACGGAGGGAAAAATGACACTTGTTCAGAGCAAATATAGTAGACGTACATCAGTGCGTAAGGATATTGGCATGACCCGAGTGCTAAGCTGCGTGAAGAAGGTGCGATGACTAATCCGCATGGTGTTCTTTATTTAAATGAAGATTTTAAACAATTTAATTATTACATGTACTGAGTACCTTATGCGTTTTTATGCAGCGGCTGCAGTGTAATACCATAGTGGCTTATCTCTCAATATTGGTGAGGCGCGACTTTTGGACTTTAAATTAGCCCTCTTGTGCCCTGCCGGGTGGGCTGGCCTTTTGGGCCATGCCAATAGCCCAGACACCTTCTCCGTGCTGAATATATATATTCTGCCCGAGTATTGTGTCTTCTTTCGTCTTCAGGCAGTCTCGCTACATTGGTGGCAGCGGAAAGCGAACCCGATCTTGAAAGACGTATCCTGATTTTCCACTTCTGCGTGATAAGGCTTAGTGGAGCGGAAGAAGTACATATGCTACGGGTGGGAGAATGGCGATGACTCCTAACAGAAGGGTTGATGTTGACGTCTACCTTCGGCATCTCTCCCAGTCCCGTGTTCTGCAGAAAAGCTATTAACAACTGAAGCGACACTAGCCGTGAACCATCTGGAAGTTTCGTTACGGGTTTCCCCTACCGTCCCCCATGGACCTGTTTTAAATCTTGTATTCCCTTATTCAAATCTGCTTTTAGGCCAGTGTTCCTGCATCTATCTATGGACACGCATGATGGCCGGCGCAGTTCCCCGTCCTGAATCAAGTTCCTGAACCGGACGAAACCCCAGATCCAGTCAAGCTGCCAAGAGGGATCAGTGACGTTGAGGTCAAGTATCCCCTCAGTTGCGCGCCAATTTGGTGACTGGCACGGTCGGCTCGTGGGTGTTTCTTTACTGCACCGACTACGTTGTAATGGCTGACGCTGGAGGTTGACCTGCGGGAGCGCCGGGGACGACGCTCGAAAGAGGAGGGAGGCTATGTAATACGATAGTGGTTTATCCCTCGGTATTGGCGAGGCGCCACTTTTGTACTTTGAACTAGCCCCCTTGTACCTCGCTGGGTGGGCTGGCCTTTTGGGCCATGCCAATAGCCCAGACACCTTCTCCGTGCTGAATATATATATATTCTGCCCGAGTATTGTGTCTTCTTTCGTCTTCAGAGGGTCTCGGGACGCTGCAGCGGCATACTGCGTGATAGTTTGGGTTCCTGTAGCTTCAGTCAGTTTTTGTCGTGTCCATATACTCCCTGCTCATTCTTACTAAAAACCACACGTGATGGCGGTGAATGTATCTCCCTTTTATGAAACAAGTTAAAATGTTATCAGTTCAGATATTTGTTCTTATGGTTTGTGTTATTTTAGCAGTGGTGTCTTTTTCCGCCGAATTTTAATGCTAGTGCATCATGTTTGGGTCAAAGTTATTAAAAACTAGTTTCCTATACGCTTTGTTATAACGCACTGCATTCCCTTGTACTTTGTTATAACGTACTTCTGTCCCGATTCCTGACGCATTTTGAATAGTGCTTCCTACTTAGTTTTGTCCAATGTCGGCGCCTGGTAATTGAACCGCTTCTTTGTTTCTTTACTCTGTATTTTTGTAACTTGGGTAGTTCTATAGGCTTTTCCGCTACACCACGTATCGACATCGCACACTATTACTTGCGTTGCATTAAGTATCGTTTGCTTTGTCATATTTTGGGATTTCTTTGATTGCGGTATGCGTCGAATGCTATTTTGGGGGTTAAGTGTTTTGCGCGACTTTAACTTCGACAAAACTTGCTTATAATTCCGTATTTCAATTTTGTATTAATAGTACCGGATAAGGAAGTTTTCCCTACTGCACCCCCTCCGTACTCGCAAGTAGCAGCACCTTTTGGCACTGCCCCTCTTGTGGGAAACCACCCGCCTGGTGAGAATTTCCTTTTAGAACCTTTGGTGCATTATTCCCGTTTTGGATTCTCCTAGTGGTGCTTCTCTTAGTCCCTCCTCAATATTAGCGTAGTTGCATAAACACTACACCCAGGCTTAGTCATTTTATAACCAAACAAAATCTCTTCAATGCTCTCTGGTTGCTTGGGTTAAACTTTGAGAAGGTCGGTTAACCACATTTCGTCTCACTCGGGTCTTCACCTTCTTTGACGTGTGCTTTCAACACTAAGGGTACTTGACAGCGTACGCATTGCTATTCTGAAACGTCTTAAGAGCTGATACAAGCCAAAAATGGGTGAGAAATGTATTTTACCCACCATGAATCCCGAGTTTTTGTTTGGATTCATTTAATGCTACTCGTTATTGTCTTCTGTTCGGAGTTGACGACTGCCACCGCCGTCTTCTTGGACTGATATAGGCGCTTCCTTTTCTCATTTCATCTGTTTGCGTTTTTATAGGTTATCAATCGCCTCCAGTTTATCCGACTGGTCCGGGTTACCCTCCCCCACCGGCTCAGCCTTATCCCTCTCAAGGTGGCCACTCCTTTTTGATTACACACATTCACTCACGTGCATTCTTGTTTTCATTTTGTGTATATCTGAATGCTCTTTATGTTTGTGTGTGCATTCACTCAGCTATGAACGCGCCTGGCCACACTTATCTGTTTCGGCTTTGTGATGTAATGTCCACCTTTTTACATTTGGTCCATTACGGGGCTCTTCAGTTTATGTATACACGAACTTAATGAGGTATCCCTAGGTGCCGCCATGTCTTGTGTCGAAATTCTCTTTGTTAAAAATGCTGTTCAAATCAATATTATCTAACTTATCCCTGAAGCCTTCAGCACTGCGTTGTTTGCGATTTCGGTTCGTATCTGCGTTTTGAGTTTTTTTTTTTTTGTTGCACTGATAAGCGTACTAGACTACGGTTTTGCGATGCCATTTTTGGAGCTGGAACAGGCGAGTTGATTGTGCGTTTTTCACGTAAATGTGACACTTTTCGTTCCAGGTGGTTTTGGTCCTCCGCAAAGACCATACACGGAACAACCCAGTAAGTACCCTTAAATAGATGTGGTGATTTTTTTTCTTTTTCTGCGCCAACTACATGCAAATATGTACATTACAGTTCACTTTCTCCATCCACTCGCTTTACTTTAATGCAAGGGCCTCTACGGTCAAAGTCAATCCCTTTACTTAAGTATTTGGCGTAACCTATGTTTAGGGTCTCTGATTTGCAACATTCCGACGAAATTGTCTATGACCTTTGAAGGAGTTGGGTGAATGATCCCCTCAAAGGTCAAAAAGAATCTGAACTATTATGACACAGTTGACAAAACTGTCCTTGGAATCGCTTTGCTTCGTCCATTACGGTGCACAAAGCGTTCTTTTGCTATTTATCACTACTCTTCTGCCCTTTTACTAACCAACCTGCCATATTGCATCAGTGGGTTGGGTGGTTCTAATTGTCTTTTGTTGGCGTGATAGTATTGCACCGCGTTGTTATTGTCGTAAATCCCGTCAGTTCTCTTTGTCTAAAACAACATGGGCTATGCGCCTTTTTGTTGCATTGTCTTGTAATGCATTCTCAAGCTATGTGGCTGTTCACAATTGAGGATGAGGCACCGTTAATAGATGCACTGGTTTAACCACCTTCAGTTCGAGTGATCATCACTGCCATAATAAATCTTGTCCCATAATTTTGCTTACCTCTATGTTGACATAAATTTAACCAACTGGGAAGTAGAAGTTCCTTGACGCTGATTTCATTTTGTTTCTTGTACGCTTCAGAGCGTCAGCGCATGTTCTAACTCATTTGGAA